AGTCAATGACCACACTCGATTATTTACAGGTCGCGGTCCACACTCGATTATTTAAAGGTCGCGGTCCACACTCGATTATTTACAGGTCGCGGTCCACACTCGATTATTTACGGGTCGCGGTCCACACTCGATTATTTACAGGTCGCGGTCCACACTCGATTATTTACAGGTCGCGGACCACACTCGATTATTTACGGGTCGCGGTCCACACCCGATTATTTACAGGTCGCGGTCCACACTCGATTTTTTACAGGTCGCGGTCCACTCTCGATTTTTGACAGGTCGCGGTCCACACTCGATTATTTACAGGTCGCGGTCCACACTCATTTTTTTACAGGTCGCGGTCCACACTCGATTATTAACAGGTTGCGGTCCACACTCGATTATTTACAGGTCGCGGTCCACACTCATTTTTTTACAGGTCGCGGTCCACACTCGATTATGTACAGGTCGCGGTCCACACTCGATTATGTACAGGTCGTCGTCCACACTCGATTATTTACAGGTCGCGGTCCACACTCGATTATTTACAGGTCGTCGTCCACACTCGATTATTTACAGGTCGCGGTCCACACTCGATTATTTACAGGTCGCGGTTATAAAAGAGGGGAGGCTGAAATGTTCTGAGCCTAGCTACGACGGATGTATTAAGTACACTACGTTCACTGCTTCCAGGCTGCAGTTGAACCAAGTATAAAACCAGGCATTTCATCAGGCATCAGAGTGACTCCGTATTCTCTGTTAATATAAATGGACAAAACTGGCTACCGCGCTGTCACAAGTATCTCCAACTGAAGGGCTAACTCCAACAGCCATCCTTGGGGATAAGGTGTCATCATCATGATGCTCCTTTCACACTGTTAAGAATTGGGCAGCAGAGTTGAGAGAGCCTCGGGGATGATCCAAGATCAGGGCCTTGTTCCACAAAGCGATCTTAGTGCTAAGATGATCGTAACTCCCATACTTTATCATAGGCTTACGACAGTCGTAGTGCTATGGTCGCTTTGTGGAACAGGACCGAGGAAGACCTTCAACTGCCACTAAGGAAAATGTGGATAAAATACATGATTTGAAAATGGATGATTGACGACTCACCACACGTCACTTAGCCAATACAGGAACCATCTCTCCTGAGAAAGTTGAGAACCTTCTGAGCAAAGAACTAGACATGACAAGGATTTCAGCACATGGCCTCTGACTCCACACCATCATCCCTCGTAAGAATGTACGTCGTTGTGAAGCACATCCAGCTGCTTTTGTTGAGCGCCGTAACCATAGATGAATCTTAGGTTCGCCATTACCAGGGTTGGTTGGTTGGTTGTTTTGTTGTTTAGCGCCGCACTCAGCAATATTCCAGCTATATATGACGGCGGTCTGTAAATAATCGAGTCTGGACCAGACAATCCAGTGAGTGATATCATGAGCATCGATCCACGCAATGGGGGTTGATGACATGCATCAACCAAGTCAGCGATCCTAACCACCCGATCCCGTTAGTCGCCTCTTACGACAAGTATAGTCGCCTTTTACGGCAAGCATGGGTTGCTGAAGACCTTTTCTACCCCGGATCTTCACGGGTGTTACCAGCCAGGGACTGAACAGACCTATGTTCCGTCAGCTGGTAGGAATCCTTCTGGTGGACTACCTCCTGAAAGGTCAGATCATTAAAGGCCAATATTATGTTAACCTGCTAAGGCAACCGCGGAGACTATAATGGCTAAACGTCGTGGAAAACTAACTAAAGGTGTGATGTTCCTCCAGGACAATACACACGTGCACAATCCTCTTATCGCAATGGTTGTAACGCATGGCTGGGACTTTCAATCCATTGAACATCCTCCCTATTCACCAGATTTGGCACCGTCAGATTTCCACCTCCTTCCAACCTAAAAATCATCAGGCAAGCATCACGCAAATGATGATGACGTCATTTCTGCTGCGGAGGACTTTTTACCCCACCAGGAAGAAGCCTTGTCCTGCCGCGGGGTCCATGCACTCCAGAACCATTGGCAGAAGTGTGTTGAGCTCGTAGTGGATTATGTTGAAAAATAATTAGCAACGAACTCCATCAACGCAAAGTAGACAAAGTAGACAACTTCTTTATTATACAGTAATAGAGACGTTTCGGGGTGGATCCTAATACCGCTTTCTTGATCTATACCGAAATGTCGTTATTACAGTATAATAAAGAAGTTCTTATCTAAAACCTTTTTTTTTGTCATCCGTCAACTGCCTATCAACGTCCATCATAGCTAGGCTCAGAACTGTTGATCACCCAATGAAGGCGTTGAACACCACCCACACTTACTTACAAAATGTTGGTATCCATACTATTTTGTTTGTGATAAAAATATTTGATATCGTTATATTAACAGGCAACAGGGCTATAGTAAACTGCCGAGCAAAATATATAAACAGGATTTGACCAAAACATGTTTTCAAAATATTACTAGGCTGAAAACAGTCGCCGAAACACCGCAAACTTAAGATTCAAAACACATTTATGATACCGGTATCAAATACATCACCATCGAATAACCATTTCTTGTTTGTGCCATTTTAGCCACCATCGAACATGGGTATATACTTGCTTTGGCCCGGCAGTTTATAATTATTTGTGGATAGCAGATTTTTAGTTGTTGACATTTGTTTTTATCATTTCTGAACGCCCTTGCGCGAAATATATAAGCTGTTATCATACCACCATGTCAAAATGATGAGATCTGATTGGTTCACGTGGTCTTGATAAAATACCACGTATCCCGCCTTGGACGGAAATAAATTTCTCAGCCGGAGAATAAATCTCTTATACCCCGCCACGGAGAAAACAGGCTGTATGTGGATTTTTCTGCGGGAGAATAAACCCACTTTCCCCGCTTCGAAGCAAAAAGCCGCACGCTTTTGCCGAGTCAGTGATAGCCACGTGGCATAATACCTCAGCTCAATCTAACAACTGTTTTCCATCAATTTTAAAGAATTTCTTTTAATTCTATTACCGCGTCATATCAAAACACGTCGTAAGATAAATTCGTTGTAGCAGGATCACTCGGGGTACATAGGGTTGTGCGTCCCTCGTTGGATTTTATACCACCCGCCGAGGTTTTAAGCGTCCCTCGTTAGGTATTAAAGGTATGTAGGTTATGTAGGTTTTATAGGTATAAAACATAACGCGGGATGCATAAAACTCCAAGTAACCGATGATCCTGCTGCAAATAATATTATACTATTGATATTATTGATATTTACAGACGAAATAAATTTACTAAACTTAAAGATGTTTGCTGATTGATACATAAATGGGGGTAAGTCGGTTTCTAATACAAATAACAAAAAGTACCTTCCCCAGGTGCGTCTTTATTGCTTTTGTAAATATTTGTGAATACGAATTTAGTATCTCAGGCTTTAAATTACAGTCAGCAAAACGACATAATTTAAAAGCAGTTACCTGATTTCACAGGAGATAACGTTGTTTCCTTAACACAAAGAAGTCTCTTGAACGCAAATAAATAGTCTGCAAAACTGTGGTGAAGTGATGTGTTCTGACACGGAAACAACAGGTAAAACAACACAACAACAATTGCTGTCTCGTTCTTGTTTACTTCTGTGTTGACTACAAGTCGAGTTCATTTATTAAACATAAACGTTACTGTCAGCGGTAAACAAACAGTATCTATATATGTTACAGAGATAGACAGATAGTTGGAGAGGAGGGTGTACCTTCAGTAATTGCTCTGCCAGTGTGTTGAGTTTAGGAAGTGCGTATATTGAAAGGCATTGTCCCGTTAGCTTGAAACGTCATGGGAAAAGGCTTTGCATCCTGGGAAATATGCAAATATGTGAATCGCACTTGAATTGTTTTAAAGCAATCTCATTAAAATCTGATCTTTGTGCTCGCTACCGCTACTTTGTTAACGTTAGCGAGAACTAAGATCTGATTTTAATGAGATTGGTTATATTTACAACACCGAATTATCAGATAATTGTTAGTGAGTAGGAATATTTTATCCCTAAATAACAATTTTTCTCAGTCGCAAGAACAAAACGTGGAATAAATCGTCCAAGTTAAAATGAAAAGTTTGAAATTGATATGATGTTTTGTGAGCAAATCAGGTATTTTTTTTAGAGTAAATATGGTGAGGGTTGGACGGGGATGCGCATGTGTTGTGTGTATGTGGACGAGCGGGGTCGGGATATGTGGCACTATGGTGAACGAGATAATCCATGTCAGCTGTGCAAAAGATATTTCATTCCCAACGCAACGTAGGTTACGTTACCACAAAATGCGCATCCTTGGGTATAGTCGGGGTATTTCGGGTTTAGTCAACACCGGTAAACCGTGGGTCAAAAGTATGAACATCGACGCCTGTCATCAGGGTTCGAACACATACAAACTCAGCCAGAATGGAGCTCGGCCTTGAAATCTGCTGCACGCATGTATACTTTACCAATAATTGTATATTTTACGGGCGCATCATCTCTGGATATCTGAATTATGTGGGATAACTTGACTGTATGGCATGTGAAACTTGTCAAGTTGAATATGCGTTTTGTAAAAGTTGAATATTCTGCTTCGCCGACGGTATATCATCATTTGTATTAATATACTCCTTTTTTCACAATTTACAACAAAAAACATGGTGTGTACAGTTTTACGCCAGAAGGCCCGACAACTCCGTGGCTGCTTGCCAACGACCCGCGCCGTCGGGGTACCACGACACAGTCAGTCAGTTCACACATCGTAGGCAACAGATCATCATTAACACACCTCTTACAAGCACTGGGTACTCGGAGCCTACCCCGGATCCCCATGTACGGGATATGGTTTAGCAAGAGGCCATTATCGGTGTATGGTTCCTGGTTTAGTGGAAAGGTGAAAACATTCAAGTGTTGATTGTTGTTTAACGCCGCACTCAGCAATATTCCAACAATATAATGGCGGTCTGTTAATAATAGAGTCTGGACCAGACAATCCAGTGATTGACATCATGAGCATCGATCTACGCAGTTGGGATACTATGACATGCATCAACCAAGTCAGCGAGCCTGACCCCCCGATCCCGTTAGTGCCTCTTACAAGCATAGCCGCCTTTTACGGCAAGCATGAGTTGCTGAAGACCTAGCAGACATACCCACTGTCTACTGAAATACACTGGCGCAGAATGATTTTACCAAGACCAACATCTATTTTTTTTCCACGTCTAATAGCTCACCCCTGAATCCCGAAACAAATCTACAAAAGCATCGTGAAATCCCGGAACCAAAAGGGGGTTTGGCAACCTCAAAACAGACCTTTCGGAGGATACATGGTGGTGACCTTAACATGACCTTTTTTTTCAAAGAATTCTTAACTATTAAAATACAGTAGTGTGGTACAACCAAGGACTTAAATGCACATGTCAAACAGCAGTCTGTGTAAGGCGGGCTCAGTGGGCTCTACTGACACTTTCTGTGAAGGTAGGTGTAGCCGTTCTGTATGGAGAAGGCCTCGGGGACGTCGATGCTGTTGACGTGAGACAGGTAGCACGTGGAGAAACTGTAATCTGCGGACTTGCACTGGAACGCCGTAGCGTCCACACAACGTTGTTGACATTCTGCCAGCGTCACCCCAGCGACGGTCTCCATCGTAAAGCCAACGACGTAGAACCCCGGCATCACGTCGAAGTCGGATGTCCATTCACAGTCTGGAACATTGAGGATATTTTAGGAACCACAAATTAGGATTCGTTATTGGTCTTTGCGTCTTTCAGAGATTGCACGGAGATTCCAAGTACACTCTAAAAATGAGTTTACATCCTACTGAAACCTATAAAACACACACGCACACGCAGTTTAGACTGCGAGAAGAAATCTCATTTCCTATGTTTAGACCCCAAAAAGTGTTCAGGTCGAACTCAAATGTGTACCCAGTTTAGGATTAAACACATATCTAAACATGTTTAGATCCGGTGATGACCCGGATGAGACTAGGTCTTCAGCAACTTAGTTGGGATAGAGTTAAACCACATAGTCTTTAAATAATTAAAGACCTGTGCATGAAGATCCTGGGTAGTCAATCCATGCTTGCTGTAAAAGGCGACTATGCTTGTCGTAAGAGGCGAGTAACGGGCTCGGGTGGGCAGGCTTGCTGACTTGGTTGATGCATGTCATCTTAGATCGATGCTCTTGATGTCAATCACTGGATTATGTCCAGACTCGATCATTTACAGACCGCCGTCATATAGCTGGAATACTGCTGAGTGCGGCGTCAAACAACAAACATGTATGTGTTTACATTATAAAACACAATATACAGTCTAAGAAAAAATCACCAAACAGCGACCAGTTATTTTCTGTAGAGCGTGCTCACAAGGCACTCAAGTGATAACATGGCATGTCACTCTCTGCTTGAAGATCTCCGCGGGTGGCATAAGGGAAACTTTCCAATCAGGAAATCATGGCTTTTAACGTTATTAAATTCACAGTGTGCGTGAACGAAGCATGTAGACAAGCATATACGATTCCTGTATGTTGAAAGGGAATATAGATTAAAGAGATGAAAGCCGCGCTAGTTGTGGTAGTTGATGATGATTATAATATTTAATCAGCGTTCACCTGACGCGGCCTCTTTGGAGGTGTCCTCAGTTTTTCACGGAAAAGGTGTGGTAAAATATCAGATTTCAATGAGACTGTTATAGTGTACTCAATGAGCCGACTTAAGAACGGAGCGATGGCGCTTGACAAATGGCCTTACTGGTCGGGTAGTCATCTGTCCAGGAGCCGTGATCGAGCCATCTCACTGCTAGGGACCCCAATATCAATAAGGGCAGGGAATCGAACCCGGGTTTACTCACCACATTTCGGAGAACACTTTCCCTCGGTCTTGCAAGATGGTTTGGAGTCATAGATACCAATACTCTGGAACAAAGCGATAGTGTACAATTAGCTTGATAATAACTAACTGGCCCGTGTCGACATCGACAGCAGTACACGTACCATATAGTAACAACACATTTCAGTCCTAGAATATCTCTTAGACGAGGGGAACCATGAGGATTCGGGTTAGAATTGGTCTCCCGCAACCCATGCTTGTCGTAAGAGGCGACTTCCGGGATCGAGTTTTCAGGCTTGATGACTTGGTTGATGCATGTCATCGTATGATCGATGCTCACTGGATTGCCTGGTCCAGATTCGATTATTTACCGACCGCCGTCACAGAGCTGGAATAATGCTGAGTGCGGCGTTAAACAACAAACAACCAACAACATTCCTCTGATAGTTCTCAATTCATGAGAGATGCCCCCTGTATTGGTTATAGGGACGGTAGCCCGAATGACTGGGTTCGGGAGGATCGGCAAAGCCTTTAAATAACGCAATACCATGAAGCGTTCCCCCTGAAATCGTCCGGTTCAATCTCATTAAAATCAGATCTTAGTTCTCGCTACCGCTTAACCAAGTAGCGGCAGCGAGAACTAAGGTCTGATTTTAATGAGATTGCGTCCGGCTTAACTTATGCCAGCGTGCGTGCGTGCGTGCGTGTGCGTGCGTGTGTGTGACGTGAGGTTTCTGGAATAACGGTGTGTGTGTGCGTTCGTGCGTTCTTGCGTTCGTGCGTGTGTGACATGAGGTTTCTGGAATATCGTTGCGTACGTGCGTGCATGCGTGCATGAGAGTGAGTGAGTGAGTGAGTGAGTGAGTGAGTGAGTGAGTGAGTGTGTGTGTGTGTGTGTGTGTGTGTGTGTGTGTGTGTGTGTGTGTGTGTGTATGTGTGTGTATGTGTGTGTGTGTGTGTGAGATATCTGGAATAACGGTGTGTGTGTGTGTGTGCGTGGGCTGGGGTTTCCGGAATAACGGTGTGTGTGTGTGTGTGTGTTCGTGCGCGTGTGTGTGTGGTGGTGTGTGTGTGTGTGTGTGTGTGTGGGGGGGGGGGGGGGGGGGGGGGGGGGGATGATACCGGGGTCTGGGTGAACGAGGCTTCACAGCATATGATAACTCAGCTTATAGATATCAGACGTCTGTCAGGGGAAGGTCCGCATTAGCATTGTGTGGTACATTGGAGAAGACAACCCGTCAATAGATATCTGGCGAATGAATGAGTGAGTTGGGGTTAACGCCGCTTTGATAAGGTTCGTCGAGTGAGCTGAATGTAGGAGGATAACCAATGTGAATCGGTCCACATATAGACGCGGTCTAGAACCGACTCTAAACCAAAACTATCCGAAACAAACAAGCAAATCAACAATTCAATGGCAAGTTTACATTTCTTCTGATTCTGAAGAAATCTTCCGGGTTCATTTTTATACATCAAATGACAAATAAAATCTTAAAATGTTTTCATTTCAGATAAAAAATAGTATTCTAGCTTTGTCAAAACCAATAATGTGATGCCTGCAGACAAAGGTTCGTATTCGGGGTGAATCTGGAATTGTAGCCCTCGGACACGGATCCTGTCAGGGCAAGGGGACGCAACGCTGCATCCCTGCTTTGTGAGGACTTTCTTCACGAGGCATTGTTCTATCCATTTTCAGGGCATAATACATGGCGCAAGTTATATAACCCAAGTTGATAAAACAATACCATGGCAACCATCATCCTTGACAAGAACATTAATACAATATCGAAAATACACATGTCACACGGGAAGGTTTCATTATGAAATGATTCGTCAAAGCATTACAGGATATTCTCCTTCCGACTACTGTGTAAACATTTACCCAGAGAAAGTTCCCCTCTCGCTTCCCAGCTACTCCCATCCGGTATCGGTCCCTTAGACTAACGCTTCGTCTCTAAAGATATAAAAACATTACAGAAACAAGCAACTACATTTACAGTGAAAAGGAGCCCCAATGAAATGGGATATTCAGAACCTGTGGGAAATCTAGACTTGCTTCATTTAGGGCTATAGCATTACAGTAAAGGCTGGGTGGAAGGGAAAATACTACGGCTCGGGGGCTGTGCGACAGACGTTACGTCAAGTGAGTAAGTGAGTAAGTGAGTTGGGTTTTAACGCCGCTTTTAACATTATTCCAGTTATATCACGGCGTGTCAGCTTAATGTGGGAGGAAAGCCCGAAGTGATGCAGGTCTCAGACCTTTACCACTTCGGTGAAACCCACGAGCACGGGTATGGTGCTGACAAACCTAGAAACATAATCGGGGCGAACCGGGATTCGAACCCACAATCATAGGTTTCTGGCGTGCCCAAGGGACGCAACTCTGCACAGCGAATCGCGGCGCCTTAGACGACTGGGCCACCCGTGGCCCCCTACGAGTGTCAACATTTCTGAAGTCGCATATAATATATTTTATGGTTATATGTGGGTTTATTATCAAGACGCTTCCATTGGTGCACACATCCGACAAAAAGTTATTATGACGGTATGGTCAGTGTATGTAATAAGAAGGTGCTGGCATATTGGTTATTTACAAGCCTGTGTCAAGTCCAGGCGATGTATATTTCATGTTAATTGTGATATCTGGCCAACTGTTCCGATCAATTGTGTTCACGTGATTTATTCGGAACACTCGGTTAATCAATGAGCGGATTCAGTATCCTAGATAGTGATGAAGTGGATAAAGCAATATGACTCTTGCGTACATGTAAATGCCTTTTTGCAGACAGTCTGACAATTAGTGTTTTAATAACAACAGTGTGGTGGTTTCTCTAGCACAAGGCTACACAAACCAGACAGACTGGAGAAACACGGCATAGACCACCCGGTGAGTGAATCAGTCATCCTCGATGATCCAGGGTATTATATATCAATTCTGTTATGATACTGGATAGAGATTCAGTACACTGGGTAATCGAGGGAATGGTTCTGAATGCATTCAGATTTAATTCTCAGCTCCCTGGGTAGTATACTTACCAGCTGTATTGGCACGAGATTGTCTGTATCCGCAATACCATCCCGCCTCATACCCACCCTAATACATACAGGGTGATGTAGTTGCTTATTGTATCTCTTCCTCAGCCTATAGTAGTTAAGAGTTCGCTAGTCACACCAAAGGCCCGGGTTTGATAACTTCGGTACCACTCTCTATCTACGATTACATACAGTGAAACCCATTCGTGACCAACTCTTCCCATTCCAGGACAAGCCGCATCACGGAAGGTTACGGAAACATGCGAGTGGTGACGAATGAGTGAAACCTCGTTATCCCGGAAATACAGCTTTCCAGACGACTCTTGTCATCAACGGCAATATATAATTAAGTATTAAGTTGCATTTCTTCCAAAATTGGAGGAGTACAATGAATTCTAATTACAATTTGTTTTATCCCTTGCAAGATTTCGCCATTTGTCGAAAACATTATCACACCAAAATTAACGTAATACGTACGACCTATCACTAATTTGAGACATGACATTTGGATAAAATAGAACTTTATGTAATTCCGCAGTAACGCCCCGTCACAACTTCGAATTATTTCTATCCCTCGCTTGTACTCCTGCGGCCTGATATATACACATTCTTCATCAAAAGTGAAAAGAATAAATATTATTTTATTATTTTTTTCAACACATCGAATAAGTACTATTCCTCTGTCTATCGCCATCTTGAACCTTACGTTTTGCATTTAATCGATGTAGTCCTAATATAGATTTCTGGTGGTTTATGTAACAATGGTGTCTTCCCATTATAAAATAATAAAATGATACGACCTCAGAAAGTGAAGGGAACATGACTGTGACCTACGGAAGCCTTTTAGGGCCATTTGTTTTGTTTTTGTTTTTCGATACTATCTTGAAATTTCAAGATATTAAGTAGTATCTTGAAATTTCAACTTAGTATCTTGAAATTTCAACTTAGTATCTTGAAATTTCAAGATACTATCGGAAAAAAAAAAAAAAAAATGGCCCTAAAAGGCTTCCGTAGTGACCTGTTTTACCTGGGATAAACTTGTCCATACTGAGACAACGAAATAGTGTAGGCACAATACAAGGGCCATTTGTTTTTTTACAATGGGAAACACTTGTCAAATGAAATAAAACCATAACACGTATTGACAGTCACGAATTTATTATATACTTCAGAGTTTTCTGAAGTTGAGAAAAGTGATATTTTCATTGCAATGGACATAACACTTGATATTTCACCGCAGTGAACATAACACTTTGATTTAAACAGTATATTATTTCCATTCAGATTTTACATTACATATCGTTACAAAATGGAACAAGGATTAGCAAACAGGACAAAAAGGCCTATATTAATGCTTCTCCTAATATTGTACATCATACATGTAGATTGTAATGACGTCTATAGAGCAGACATTAATGAGTAACACAAAATGAAATAAAATGGAAAGCAAGATACCAAATGCATTTTATATTCTTAAGTTGACACATAACTTACGTAAAGCGGTTTGTTTCAATGATGTAATTGGGAACTGATTTTATAATGTATTCATTTTCTGAGGAAGATGAATCTTCATTGCCGTGGAGTATAGTATGTATGCTGAGCTGGTTAACAAAAAAGTATTTATCAATTCTAAACTTGGCATAGCGTGGACAAGATAGAAAAAAGTGGAAAGCATCTTCTCTATTCAGGCCACATGGACAGATGGGATTATCAATCAGAAATCTGTCAGATAAATGTGATTTTAAATCACTACAACCTAGCCTAAGTCTAGATAAAATCACTTGGCATTGCCGCTGGCCATAACTAGCAAAAGATGTGAAATTTGAAGTAAGCTTAGTTTCTCTAGAAATTAATTGCTTAAACCGAGATAAGGAATCTACATTTCTAATATTAATATCAAGTGCATTCCAAGCTTGTATAACAGATGGCAAAAAAGATCGATTATACTGGGATAAGCGTCCTGCACTGGTCTGGACGACATTAGAAGTACGAAGGTTATATCCAGTTATGTTGGATATATTAGATGGGACCCATAAAGATAGATATTTAGGAGTTAGCGAATTGACCATTTTGTAAAATATACATAATTTATGGTAATGTCGTCTGTCGGACAGTGAGCATAAACCCGTTTCCCTATAAAGTTTTTTGTGACTGGTTCCTCGTACTGCTCCACATATTGTTCGTAGAGCATCCAAGTGTAAATTTTCTGATAGTTTTACTTGTTCATTATTACAATTATCCCAAATATTATCACAATAATCAAAAATAGGTAAAATAAAAGATTTGTACATGGTTTGAGCGTTCTTCGATTTAGACGGTATTTCAGGCTACGCAAACAATTAATTAATGGGCTCACTTTACGTACAATATAATCAATGTGTTTGTGCCATTTTCCATCTTCCTGGAATACAAGTCCTAGATGTTTATGATCACTTACTTCAGGTATAAGAATATCATTCATTCGCAGAGGTAATTTAGGACTAGGATTACTTTTAGTAGAAAATAACATTGCTTCCGTTTTGGAAGGACTAAATTTCACCTGCCATTTACTTGCCCAGTTTGATATACATTCTAAATCACTATTCAATATAGCGGCTGTGGATTCAGGATCTTCAATAATTAGAAATAAAGATGTATCATCAGCAAAAAGTTGATTATTACTCGTTATCCCATGAGTCAGATCATTAATATAAATAAGGAATAACAAGGGTCCTAAAACTGAGCCCTGTGGCACTCCGGCTAGAACAGGTTTATAATGTGACATATAGCCATTAATTACTACAGACTGTTGTCTATTACAAAGATAACTTCCAAACCAGTCCAGAAGATTACCCCCTATCCCTGTTGACTTTAATTTAACTAATAAGCCTTCATGCCAGACACGATCAAACGCCTTACTTATATCACAAAATATGGCGCGAACTTCCTTTCCATCATCCAAGGCTTTGGAGATCACGTGATATAATTCAGTTAACTGATAAACAGTTGAATCTCCAGGTTTGAATCCCGATTGTGAAGTGGTTATGATATCATTATCCAAGTAAAAATTGCAGACATGCTTAAATACACATTTTTCAAATACCTTAGAAAGAGAAGTTGTCAGGGCAACTGGTCTATAATTATTACAATCATGAACACTACTTTTTTTATGGATTGGAACAATAAGAGATTTTTTCCATTGACAAGGAAAGGAGGAAAGTCGTAGCGATAAATTGAACAGCAAAGTAATGGGAGCACATAGAGGTATAGCTAATTTTTTTAAAAGCTTATTACCAATATTATCTGGACCTTTAGCTTTGGTAGTATTTAGGCTTAATAAAATATCATGGACTTCTTTTTCAAACAAGAGCAAGTCGTTAAGTTTATTTACAGGCTCATGTAAGTTATTAGTTTTCTTCTCGGGTTCTTAAACTTGGGCTTGTTGAATAAAGGAGTCATTAAAAGCCTCAGCAATATCCCTGGGATGATCAACAACGTTCCCATTAATCATAATAGGAGGGGATTGTGTATTTGAATTTCTTTTATGCTGTATAATTTTTTTAATTAAGCGCCACCATGATTTAGTACCACATTCTGAATTAATAGTATCATCTAATTTCAAATCATAAGCGCGCTTAGCTTTCCTAACTTCAGTAATAACATAACACTTTGACGGAACTACTGTCATACAAGAGTTAACTCCCCTTAAATTATATCCCTTTATCGTAATATATTTATTTAATGGTATATTTTAATTTTCCGATAGAAAATAGAATGTTTCAAGTGACGAGTGAAATATGTTTCGCTCATCGAGTGACGAGGGGGAAAAGAGATATTTTCACTCGTACCTATTATGTTTCAAATATAACACAGAAAAAAACGATCACAATAGTTTTGGCAATACTTTTACATGCAATCAAATAACCACAGGCATATCATAGAAGGTCATTGACCTAATGTGATCATTTGATCTTAGATATAGTCAATTGATGTGATTGGGTCCGTATGTACAAATCCTTCAAGGTCATCTATGAGCTGATCTGGTATCCCCGTGCCCTGTTCTGTCCATACATTATTACCTTAACCACATAAATAGAGTTGATGTTTGACAGAATATGCCCAGTTAGTCTGCCCCTTTCGATCATAGAGTAATAGCATGTTATAACATTTCTATGGGTATCTTGTAAGATATTGTAACTAATTTAATCCAGTATATTATCGTCTTTACCTTGGCAAAATATAGTTAATGGGTATCGTCCACATTCACCGTAGACCACTAAATTAGACGTACTAGATTTCACACCAAGGAATCGTTTGCATGGTATAAATGTACTGTTTCTAAAACATCAATTATTTCTAATCCCCAAACCTCCAAAATTGGATTGATCTTTTCATCGAAAATCTTAAAGAATGTATTATAGGAAATATTTCCAAGGACTTTAATATTTTGTAGAATTCCAATTAAGATCTTCGCGTGTACCACAGCTAGGTTAGCATGCATCTTCCATGATAATATGTTTGTAAAATATACACCTAAGTGCCTATAGAACGATACAACATCCAAAAAATGTCCTTGATAAAACCATTTCTCTCTACTAGCTAGTGTACCACCATTTTTAAAAACAACAAGTCAAACTCCTCCTTATACAATATTTCAGTTATACCAGGTGTGTCAAACTCCTCCTTATACAATATTTCAGTTATACCAGGTGTGTCAAACTCCTCCTTATACAATATTTTAGTTATACCAGGTGTGTCAAACTCCTCCTTATACAATATTTCAGTTATACCAGGTGTGTCAAACTCCTCCTTATACAATATTTCAGTTATACCAGGTGTGTCAAACTCCTCCTTATACAATATTTCAGTTATACCAGGTGTGTCAAACTCCTCCTTATACAATATTTCAGTTATACCAGGTGTTTCAAACTCCGCCTTATACAATATTTCAGTAATACCAGGTGTGTCAAACTCCTCCTTATACAATATTTCAGTTATACCAGGTGTGTCAAACTCCTCCTTATACAATATTTCAGTTATACCAGGTGTGTCAAACTCCTCCTTATACAATATTTCAGTTATACCAGGTGTTTCAAACTCCGCCTTATACAATATATCAGTAATACCAGGTGTGTCAAACTCCTCCTTATACAATATATCAGTTATACCAGGTGTGTCAAACTCCGCCTTATACAATATTTCAGTTATACCAGGTGTGTCAAACTCCGCTTTATACAGTATCTCGGTTATATCAAACCCACCACCAGAGGATCCTGACACAACTAAGGGACGCAACTCCGCTTAGACCGCCTTAGACCACTCGTCAAACCGAGAAAGACAAATGAATTCAAACCAACAGTAAACGTCTCTTTGAAACTCCCCAACGTGATTGTTGAATTAGTAAACACAACTTACCGACAGCGTGTCCTCAAACTCCACGTCATAGTAGGCGAAGTCTGTTGAAGGGATGAGGCTAGCCGTCTTCGCGCAGAGGAAGGTGCCAAGAAGTTCACACTTGTCCTTCTTACCAAAGTTTAGGGCTTCACATCCGGATGTTCGAATACATTCCTTGAGACATTCAATCCTCGATCGAGTTAAAACTGTTTTTAGGGGTGCCGTATTCAACTTTCTGTCTTTTAGAGGAATTGCACGTGCAATCAGCTGCCGCGTAGTGGCATCGACTTGTTCTCTATTCATAATCTTCATCACTATACAAACTGTGACGAGCGTTAGAAAATTCGACCCCATTTTTAGTTAGAATATCATAAATAAAGCCGCGAAATAATTCTCAATAAACGAGTTGATTTCAATACTCCCTCTCTTGTCATCACAGATTTTAAATGAAGGGTTAACGTCAAATCGCTGCTTAATCAAGCATAGTTCAACGCTTGATATTTTCGTTCAATATATTAATCCGTTGTATCGAAAGTTTTTAGGTTCCCCCATTTCAAGATAGAAAATCAATTAGACGCACTCTGCCGTCCCTGGCACTATTAGAGAACAGTCTTTCCGATCATGTCGCGAGATGGTCTCTGTGAAATCCATCCACGGCAATTGGGTGGTAACGTCATTCCCAACCACAGATCAATAGTTAATCGATAATGGAATAAATACTGCTTTGTGTACACGGGAAGATATTTTCAGACTGAAGTGGTACATCCAAATAACACTTTATTAACAAATCTCAAAAAGCAATATAAATTGTGTTAATGGAATTGTTCCGCCTCTTACTTACGGAGTGTGTGACAAAAGAGCTATAAAATCAGGCGCCTTTTTGAGTGATGGTGGGACCTTATTAAGAATTGTCTCATAAGATTCATATTGTTACGAAGAAAGAAAAAAATGAGTTGGCTTTACCTTGGTCAGACATAATCGAAATTTCCCAGTTTCCAGTAAAACCAACCTGAAGGTGCGGTTGACCTTATAGCATCTTCTTTCATTAAAACAAAGTCGGAAAGCTGCTTATACGAACCCTATACCTGTTGAGGGTAGCTGTTTGTGAACCTGTTGAGGGTCGGTGTTTGTGAACATGTTGGTCAATGTTTGTGAACCTCTTTAGGGTCGGTGTGTTTGTAAACCTGTTGAGGGTCGGTGTTTGTAAACCTGTTGAGGGTCGGTGTTTGTAAACCTGTTGAGGGTCGGTGTTTGTGAACCTGTTGAGGGTCGGTGTGTGTGAACCTGTTGAGGGTCGGTGTGTGTGAACCTGTTGAGGGTCGGTGTTTGTAAACCTGTTGAGGGTCGGTGTTTGTGAACCTGTTGAGGGTCGGTGTTTGTAAACCTGTTGAGGGTCGGTGTTTGTGAACCTGTTGAGGGTCGGTGTGTGTGAACCTGTTGAGGGTCGGTGTTTGTAAACCTGTTGAGGGTCGGTGTTTGTGAACCTGTTGAGAGTCGGTGTTTGTAAACCTGTTGAGGGTCGGTGTTTGTGAACCTGTTGAGGGTCGGTGTGTGTGAACCTGTTGAGGGTCGGTGTTTGTGAACCTGTTGAGGGTCGGTGTTTGTGAACTTGTTGAGGGTCGGTGTGTGTGAACCTGTTGAGGGTCGGTGTGTGTGAACCTGTTGAGGGTCGGTGTGTGTGAACCTGCTGAGGGTCGGTGTTTGTGAACCTGTTGAGGGTCGGTGTGTGTGAACCTGTTGAGGGTCGGTGTGTGTAAACCTGTTGAGGGTCGGTGTGTGTGAACATGTTGAGGGTCGGTGTGTGTGAACCTGTTGAGGGTCGGTGTGTGTAAACCTGTTGAGGGTCGGTGTTTGTAAACCTGTTGAGGGTCGGTGTTTGTAAATCTGTTGAGGGTCGGTGTGTGTGAACCGGTTGAGGGTCGGTGTTTGTGAACCTGTTGAGGGTCGGTGTGTGTGAACCTGTTGAGGGTCGGTGTGTGTGAACCTGTTGAGGGTCGGTGTTTGTGAACCTGTTGGGGGTCGGTGTTTGTAAACCTGTTGAGGGTCGGTGTGTGTGAACCTGTTGAGGGTCGGTGTTTGTGAACCTGTTGAGGGTCGGTGTGTGTGAACCTGTTGAGGGTCGGTGTTTGTGAACCTGTTGAGGGTCGATGAGTGTGAACCTGTTGAGGGTCGGTGTTTGGGAACCTGTTGAGGGTCGGTGTTTGTGAACCTTTTGAGGGTCGGTGTGTGTGAACCTGTTGAGGGTCGGTGTGTGTGAACTTGTCGAGGGTCGGTGTTTGTAAACCTGTTGAGGGTTGGTGTGTGTGAACATGTTGAGGGTCGGTGTTTGTAAACCTGTTGAGGGTCGGTGTTTGTGAACCTGTTGGGGGTCGGTGTGTGTGAACCTGTTGAGGGTCGGTGTGTGTGAACCTGTTGAGGGTCGGTGTTTGTAAACCTGTTGAGGGTCGGTGTGTGTGAACCTGTTGAGGGTCGGTGTTTGTGAACCTGTTGCGGGTCGGTGTTTGTGAACCTTTTGAGGGTCGGTGTGTGTGAACCTGTTGAGGGTCGGTGTTTGTGAACCTTTTGAGGGTCGGTGTGTGTGAACCTGTTGAGGGTCGGTGTGTGTGAACTTGTCGAGGGTCGGTGTTTGTGAACCTGTTGAGGGTCGGTGTTTGTAAACCTGTTGAGGGTCGGTGTTTGTAAACCTGTTGAGGGTCGGTGTTTGTGAACCTGTTGAGGGTCGGTGTGTGTGAACCTGTTGAGGGTCGGTGTTTGTAAACCTGTTGAGGGTCGGTGTTTGTGAACCTGTTGAGAGTCGGTGTTTGTAAACCTGTTGAGGGTCGGTGTTTGTGAACCTGTTGAGGGTCGGTGTGTGTGAACCTGTTGAGGGTCGGTGTGTGTGAACCTGTTGAGGGTCGGTGTTTGTGAACCTGTTGAGGGTCGGTGTTTGTGAACTTGTTGAGGGTCGGTGTGTGTGAACCTGTTGAGGGTCGGTGTGTGTGAACCTGTTGAGGGTCGGTGTGTGTGAACCTGCTGAGGGTCGGTGTTTGTGAACCTGTTGAGGGTCGGTGTGTGTGAACCTGTTGAGGGTCGGTGTTTGTAAACCTGTTGAGGGTCGGTGTTTGTAAACCTGTTGAGGGTCGGTGTTTGTAAACCTGTTGAGGGTCGGTGTGTGTGAACCTGTTGAGGGTCGGTGTTTGTGAACCTGTTGAGGGTCGGTGTGTGTGAACCTGTTGAGGGTCGGTGTGTGTGAACCTGTTGAGGGTCGGTGTTTGTGAACCTGTTGAGGGTCGGTGTTTGTAAACCTGTTGAGGGTCGGTGTGTGTGAACCTGTTGAGGGTCGGTGTTTGTGAACCTGTTGAGGGTCGGTGTGTGTGAACCTGTTGAGGGTCGGTGTTTGTGAACCTGTTGAGGGTCGATGAGTGTGAACCTGTTGAGGGTCGGTGTTTGGGAACCTGTTGAGGGTCGGTGTTTGTGAACCTTTTGAGGGTCGGTGTGTGTGAACCTGTTGAGGGTCGGTGTGTGTGAACTTGTCGAGGGTCGGTGTTTGTAAACCTGTTGAGGGTTGGTGTGTGTGAACATGTTGAGGGTCGGTGTTTGTAAACCTGTTGAGGGTCGGTGTTTGTGAACCTGTTGGGGGTCGGTGTGTGTGAACCTGTTTAGGGTCGGTGTGTGTGAACCTGTTGAGGGTCGGTGTTTGTAAACCTGTTGAGGGTCGGTGTGTGTGAACCTGTTGAGGGTCGGTGTTTGTGAACCTGTTGAGGGTCGGTGTTTGTGAACCTTTTGAGGGTCGGTGTGTGTGAACCTGTTGAGGGTCGGTGTGTGTGAACTTGTCGAGGGTCGGTGTTTGTGAACCTGTTGAGGGTCGGTGTGTGTGAACCTGTTGAGGGTCGGTGTGTGTGAACCTGTTGAGGGTCGGTGTTTGTGAACCTGTTGAGGGTCGGTGTTTGTAAACCTGTTGAGGGTCGGTGTGTGTGAACCTGTTGAGGGTCGGTGTTTGTGAACCTGTTGAGGGTCGGTGTGTGTGAACCTGTTGAGGGTCGGTGTTTGTGAACCTGTTGAGGGTCGATGTGTGTGAACCTGTTGAGGGTCGGTGTTTGGGAACCTGTTGAGGGTCGGTGTTTGTGAACTTGTCGAGGGTCGGTGTGTGTGAACCTGTTGAGGGTCGGTGTGTGTGAACTTGTCGAGGGTCGGTGTTTGTAAACCTGTTGAGGGTTGGTGTGTGTGAACATGTTGAGGGTCGGTGTTTGTAAACCTGTTGAGGGTCGGTGTTTGTGAACCTGTTGGGGGTCGGTGTGTGTGAACCTGTTGAGGGTCGGTGTGTGTGAACCTGTTGAGGGTCGGTGTTTGTAAACCTGTTGAGGGTCGGTGTGTGTGAACCTGTTGAGGGTCGGTGTTTGTGAACCTGTTGAGGGTCGGTGTTTGTGAACCTTTTGAGGGTCGGTGTGTGTGAACCTGTTGAGGGTCGGTGTGTGTGAACTTGTCGAGGGTCGGTGTTTGTAAACCTGTTGAGGGTCGGTGTGTGTGAACATGTTGAGGGTCGGTGTTTGTAAACCTGTTGAGGGTCGGTGTTTGTGAACCTGTTGGGGGTCGGTGTGTGTGAACCTGTTGAGGGTCGGTGTGTGTGAACCTGTTGAGGGTCGGTGTTTGTGAACCTGTTGAGGGTCGGTGTTTGTGAACCTGTTGAGGGTCGGTGTGTGTGAACCTGTTGAGGGTCGGTGTTTGGGAACCTGTTGAGGGTCGGTGTTTGTGAACCTGTTGAGGGTCGGTGTGTGTGAACCTGTTGAGGGTCGGTGTGTGTGAACCTGTTGAGGGTCGGTGTGTGTGAACCTGTTGAGGGTCGGTGTGTGTGAACCTGTTGAGGGTCGGTGTTTGTAAACCTGTTGAGGGTCGGTGTTTGTAAACCTGTTGAGGGTCGGTGTTTGTGAACCTGTTGAGGGTCGGTGTGTGTGAACCTGTTGAGGGTCGGTGTTTGTGAACCTGTTGGGGGTCGGTGTTTGTGAACCTGTTGGGGGTCGGTTTGTGTGAACCTGTTGAGGGTCGGTGTGTGTGAACCTGTTGGGGGACGGTGTGTATAAACCTGTTGAGGGTCGGTGTGTGTGAACCTGTTGAGGGTCGGTGTGTGTGAACCTGTTGAGGGTCGGTGTGTGTGAACCTGTTGAGGGTCGGTGTGTGTGAACCTGTTGGGGGACGGTGTGTATAAACCTGTTGAGGGTCGGTGTGTGTGAACCTGTTGAGGGTCGGTGTGTGTGAACCTGTTGAGGGTCGGTGTGTGTGAACCTGTTGAGGGTCGGTGTGTGTGAACCTGTTGAGGGTCGGTGTGTGTAAACCTGTTGAGGGTCGGTGTGTGTGAACCTGTTGAGGGTCGGTGTGTGTGAACCTGTTGAGGGTCGGTGTTTGTGAACCTGTTGGGGGTCGGTGTTTGTGAACCTGTTGGGGGTCGGTGTGTGTGAACCTGTTGAGGGTCGGTGTGTGTGAACCTGTTGGGGGACGGTGTGTATAAACCTGTTGGGGGTCGGTGTGTGTAAACTTGTTGGGGGTCGGTGTTTGTGAACCTTTTGAGTTTCAGTTTTTGATAACCTGTTTGGGGTCGGTATGTGTAAACCTGTTGAGGGTCGGTGTGTGTGAACCTGTTTGGGGTCGGTGTGTATA